TATCAAGAAAAATGATCTTTGGTCATTTTATTCATGATGTAACTCGAGCTGAAACCGTTTAGCTGAACAAGATCTGAACCTGTTGATGTATATTTGATCTTGGCTTTGTCCAGCAGTCGCATGGTTGCAGGTGATGGGTTGTGTGACACCAGTGAGCCTTCAATTATTAAAGCGTTTAGTTTTAATTATCCCCTGCCCTGCCCTGATGGGAGAGGCAGAGGTCTGAGCCCTGCTTTTCTTTTGCATTATTATATGAGATATTTTGATTGACAAGTGGTTTTAGGAATTTGGATGGCTAGTTGTTTTAACATGTTTTAAGCTTGTAGACTTTGTCTCAACTCCCACGGCATATACTTTATATTACTGTATCCTGCACATTACAGTATCACATATGATTCATGACACTGTCTGACATTTCAGCTCTCAGTGATGCTTGATTGAATTGTTTCTTTGACTTGTAGCATGCAGTTGGATCTGAAATAAATCTGAGACTGAAACCTTTTTTTATACAGGTTGAGTGTGTGAGTTATTGTCTCTATGATATGGTGATGTAGAGATCCAGTGATGGCTATAAACCATGTTCTGCGCAGTGACAGTTCAAACAGATTATTTTATGGTTTCTGGTTATCCATTTAACTTTATACCCTGTGAGTGGGCTACACTCCCAAACACCTAAAGACATAGCCTCTAAATATGGCTTTAAATAAAATGGGGACCCATTGGAGGTGAGTTTATCATACAGTAAAGTAAAAATAAATATGAACTAAATATTATGTTGGAACTGTAACTGGCTGTGGGGGGTGGGGGGCCTTGGGGCGGGGGTGCAGTGGGGAATTCCTCTTGGCTAAACATCAAGTAAATAAAGAGGGTTTGTTCGGTGGAGGCGATACCTGCGTGCAGCAGAAATGGCACTGAAAGCAGCCTCTGGACCAGTTTGCATAGAGCCACGATACAAGTGACCTGAAAGCGAGATTTGCATGACCGCATGCTGCATGACTTTGTTTCGTCTAATGCATGCTGGGATCATTTCCTTAACCCCTGTGATAGGACAACCCCTCCTGACTTTACACCAAATCTCTTTAACTGATTTGGGCTGTAGGTTGTGGCCAGTGTAACAAAGACCTTGTATCTCCTGCCCAGTAGACTGAGTTCTAAATGTAAATGATGCTCTACACTAACGACAAACTAAAACGACAAACTAAAACGACAAACTAAGCTAGCCCGTGTTGTTACAGTGAAATGTTTTTGAACACTCCATTGTATCTGCCTTTGTTTCATGTCCCTCAGCAAAACAACACCTCTGCCAATTAAAAAATGACTTTTGTCAGCAGGCTCTTCCCAGGAGGAGGGCAGGTATACCACATGCTTGATTGTGTTCTTTGGTATACACAGTATCAGGCCACAGTATTACACAGTGATAACTTGAGACCTAGCTTTTAAAAAGCTTTCTCTGCTCGACCTAGGACAGATATTTTAATTTCTCTATATCCTACATAATTATTTAAAAAATGAATAATAATTTGTTAGTTTTTCTCTCCCCGTCCTCTTTTTTTTCTTTCATCTGCTTCTCTCCTTAGCCAAATATCCAGAGATCAAGTCTCTGATGGGTCCGGACCCCCAACTGAAGTGGGTGGTATCGGGCATGGTCCTAACCCAGCTCTTGGCTTGCTACTTGGTCAGAGACCTCTCCTGGAAGTGGATCATCTTCTGGGCTTACAGCTTTGGAGGCTGCATCAACCACTCCCTGACTCTGGCAATCCATGACATCTCTCACAACGTGGCCTTTGGCAACAAGCTGGCAAAGTGGAACCGCTGGTTTGCCATGTGGGCCAACCTGCCCATCGGGTTGCCTTACTCTGCCTCCTTTAAGAAGTATCACATCGACCACCATCGGTATCTGGGTGGCGACAAGCTGGATGTTGACATCCCTACAGACATTGAGGGATGGTTCTTCTGCACCCCGGCCAGGAAGGTCCTCTGGCTCTTCCTCCAACCCTTCTTCTACGCCCTTCGCCCATTAGTGGTCAATCCTAAGCCAGTAGGCCAGCTGGAGATCCAGAATGCACTTGTTCAACTCACAGTAGACTTAATTATCTACTATCTATGGGGGCTGAAGCCCATTGTTTACCTCATTGCAGGGTCTATCCTGTGTATGGGACTGCATCCTATCTCTGGACATTTCATAGCTGAGCATTACATGTTCCTGAAAGGACACGAGACATATTCTTACTATGGATCACTGAATTTGATCACCTTCAATGTCGGGTATCACATGGAGCACCATGACTTCCCGAGCATACCTGGCAGTAAACTACCTCAGGTGAGACTGTGTTACTGTGATAAATAATGGCTACGTTTGCAACAGGTGAACTCTTGAGTCATTTTTTCCAAGACTATTAATGGTTGAGAATGAGGACAGTTGCAACACTTACATCACCTGCAGTTGTGGGCAGATAAGAAGGGCCTCTCCCATCATTCAGAACTTAAACAAAAAGGTATCTGCAAATGCAACATGACATTCTATCAACTGCAAATATTTATCAGATGAAAGGCCAGCCTTTGTAACTGATTAACTGCTGCCTCTCTAGCACCACTAGAGTAAGAAGAGATTTAAAGTGAGATACCTGCCTTTTGACACAGCTGACAACTGCTTTTGTTGAACAACCTGATTGAGAAATTCTTTAGTTTAAGCTATTTTTGTTCTTAACAGAGGAAATATGACATTTTTCTTTAGATTAGAATAAACTATTTTGTTTCATTCTATTTGAACTATCAAGTACCTTTTTTAGGATTTAAAAAAAATGTCACTTTGGAAGAGAAATCAAATGTCATTGTGTACTCCAGACTGTGGCCTTTATAAGAATAAACTATGCAATGTGTTTTCTTGTTGAACAAATAAGTGAAATGTCTGCTTCTATTAGCCTTTGTGTCTGTATCTGACTGTCCTAGTGAAATAAGGTTTCATGTTGAATTATACCTGAATTAGTCCCTGAGGTGCTTCTGACACCTCATATATACAGAAGGTTATATACCTGATGTACAATTTACATTCTTATTTCTTCCTAAGCTCTCATTCTCACTTGATGTTTCCTTTTTTTGGCAGGTCAAGCAAATCGCAGCAGAGTATTACGATTCCCTTCCACAACACACTTCCTGGACCCGGGTATTATGGGACTTTGTGTTCGACGACAGCATCGGGCCCTATGCCAGAATCAAACGGGAGTACAAGCTAAACAAGCAGGGATAGATCTGTGACTGAATATGTTTCCCTTTGAACAGGAATGTGAATTTCAGTTGTTAAATATCTATGGACTACTATGAAATATTATCTATTTTTCCCCCATGTAGTATGTGGTTGTCACTGTATAAACTTTCTAATATGTTGGACATCTTAAATCAGTCAGGAAAAGGGACGAGAATTCAGATAAAGCTCCAATGGCCTGTTGTTGTGATGCAGTGATGACATTTCCTTGTATCCAGAAGACAAAATGAGGATGAAAAGCTAATATTTCCTTATCTGCAGGTGGAGACCACAAATGATAGTATTGAATAGAACCCTCATTATTATAGAATAATGGTCACATACATTCTCATGAGGTTTTACAGAGATGTCCCTAGCTCTGTGGTCTCTCTTTCCTGCTCATAAGCATTACGGCTTCTTAAGAATATCTGAATGTGTGAATCAAAGCTCAAAAAGCCTCTCAGATTACCTAATACAGTTTCACATCTATCATGCAGAACAGTGCTGAGGTGGAAAATGAGCATTGAAACTTACCTTTCAGTAAGAAGAGCCTTTTCTTCAGTGACGCCCCATTCTGCTTGTTTGCAGCTCCATTGTGCTGTAAATAAACTGATTATATCTACAGGGATTGGACAAAATAACAGAAACACTGTATATTGAATATTTTTATAATGTTTGGTGTTTTTTGAAACTGTTGGTGAGCCATCTTTGGACCACTGGTCCTCCTTGCTCATGCAATTGTATGAATCTGGCCTCTTTCTTCGTGAGTTTAGAGATCACTATATTAAATCATTTTTGGGTGGTCATAACTGATGCACCAGTGATTCAGGAAGCAACACTGAATCACCTGTGAAAGTGACACATTTTTTATGTTGTGAGTATCCAAGGCAACACAAGAAAACTTGTGAAAATAGACCAGATAATCAGTGCTTGAACTGCTAGTGCATCCTACACAAAATGGAAATGTATAATGTGTACTGAAGTGAGGAGAAAAACCTTGGAAATCATGTTGACTTAGGCCAGACAAAAGAAAAGAGCATTAGCTGTTAAAGAGGAGCAGTGGTCTCTGACCTTCACTCACTGAAAGTCAGCAAACTACAGTGAATCATTACAAGCATTGCCAAATTAGTATTTAACACAGAGCAATTTTATTGTATGGTGTTAGTTATTTTGTCCACCCACTGTATGTGCAGCTCAATCTATGTGTTGTGATTAATAAGCATGATCTCTGTTTGTATTTAAATCACTGTACTATATATATAAAACAGTAAAAGATCTTTATAAGAAAAAAATACTATCAAGAATATTAGTTTGTCCTTGGTTTTCTATTTCCTGTCTGTTTTGCGGTAACCAGATCGTCGATGACCGTTTCTTTTATTCAAACATAATTAAAATATACTCTAACGGGGAAAACGATTTAAACTTTCCACATGTACCAAAACACAAGTGAACACACACACACACACACACACACACACACACACACAGCAGGATATTGTGTAGATGGCTGACACAGTCTATGGTTTTTCTTTGAATGAATTTACTTCCAGCTTTTAAATCAGAACGTAGTTGAGAGCGGACAGAGTGGATAGAATGCAACAACCGATAATCAACCAAATCCTTCCTGCAAAGACACATTTAGCTACCATCACATAGGCCTACCATTCACTTTCTTATCTAGATAAGATTTGCATATTGCCAGAGCAACCCCCTTCATTATTTTCACATTGCTACCATTATCAAGTTCAACATCTCATATATAGAAAGGGGAATCTTCATGGAAACAAACCACTATAATAAATGTACCACCGTTTGTTTTTGTTTTTTTTTCAAACCAAATAAATAACAAATTCATAGAAATGGGGGGTTTCATGCATACTTGGGAGGTTCACAAAGCATAGGATGACTAATAGATAGTACTACATTGTTTTCTAGCTAGGTAAAACCAGGTGGCACATTTACAGTTATCGGCCTGTTTTGTGAATGATCCCCAAGTTTCATTGATCTCACACATCTGAACAGGTAGAGAGAAACAAGTACCTCGGTCACACCGGAGTTGTAAAGCAGACTGTTTTTGTGTGTTACTTGATTAATTGCCAAAAAATCAACTGCTCACTTTTAATGTGGAGGAAAGAGGTAATAATTTAAGTGGCTAATTGTGGTTCAAACATTTAACATTTTTTTCCAGCCTCTCTGGAGAGAAAATGTTAGACACACATCACCAGTATGAACAAGGTCATAAAAAGCCTTTTTTTTTTTAAATAAGCCAGTTGAGGGCAGGTGAGTCTGCAGCACCATTATACCCATATTGTGCTTGTTATCATCAAATAGTTAGGGCTAAACTCAACAAAAAATAACATTAGAAAATATAAAAGGCTGACATAAATGGTGTGCAAGATTCCTTTTTCCTTCTATAATATCAATAAAATACTCACTGTCATCAACAGCATCATCATTATCACCACAGTTTTTAAATAATAAAACAGTAAAAACTTAGAAAACAAAAATATTTTCTTCTTAAGACTTGGACTGAACAAAGAACAAAGAGTTGCAACACTGGGCTGACTGAGTCTATAGGTGCACAGAGAGGACCACAACACCACACTCAGCACGAATGTCCGTCCATCCCTCAATTCAACTTTTAGTATATTTTTCATTGTCTGTTTGAGTTCATCAGTCCTTTTACACTTCCTTTATCCATCCGTATGTTTCTCCTGCTCCTCTGTCTCATTAACCCCTTCCCTTTCATCTTCTCTGTTTTTCTTTCTTCCATTTTCGCTGTCCAGCAGACTCAAATGTTGGCACAACATCTCTGCAACTTGCATCATGGCATCGCGAGGTCACAGAAACATTGAGAGAACATTCCCGGGTCCTCGTGTCTGTGCATCTGCATGTCCATCCTCCTCCAGCTCCTCCTCTCGCTCTCCTCCTACTGTTGCTCAGATGAGATTAGGATGTACTGATTCTGCCGATTTCTTGTCTGATGGCTGCAAGGCAAGAACGAGGCATTTTGAAACCTTCCTGCAGCAACAACGCTTTGCACTTATACCAGTTCATTTTGCATTAGATGTGGGGGAATAATAGAAGTACTATGAATTATTAACAGTGTAAAGTAGCTTTTTCATATGATTATTTCACTCTAAATAGTAAACTTTACAGGCAGTGAGTTGTAAAAACTAGTGTGTGTAAAGGATTAAAGATTAAACATGCTTTGTGCTCCCGGATACTGCAATGAACTTGCTTACCATTAATGATTTCATCTTTCACCTTATGCAACTCACGTACAACTTCATCCAAAATTTCCTGCAAAACAAGAAGTGCTTGTGAGTTGACAGGATGTGCAAAATAGTTAGTCTGCACTGTACAAAAACCCATTATATCCCTCATGTAACAAAATACATCATACCAACCTGTTTCATCCTGTCAAATTCTGTGTCTGCTTCACTAGTGCTGCCGATGGGTCTCACTCTGCAACACAAGAGGACAAACTGTTTGAATCTAAAAGCAGCCTTTTTTCAGCGGATGAGAGTTACGCACTAAATATTTAAAAGGATTGTGTATTGTTAAAAGGGTTTTTTGTTAAACCTAACCATCATTTAGACAATTCTTCTCATCTTAATTTAATTTATGTTAGTTGCCTATCGTGCAAAGGATGAGCATCATGCTGAAATTCCTAGGGTTAATGCTAAAGGTTTACTATTTCATATTCAAACCACACTCCCTTCACTCCTCCTCCTCTTACAGACCTGGACACCAGTGAGGACTTGTCTGCAGAGTTTGAGCGTTCCCATGGCTTCTTCACAGCATCTGGAGAGGGGGAAAGAATAAATGAAATAAAATAAAACAACTATGAAACAGTCGGCTATAACGCAGAGCAAAAGATGTCTTAAAACCTGTTGTTTTATGGAGTATATGTACAAGCTGTGTTATATAATAATCTGGTGAGTGGGCTGTTCTGTACCTGTTGAGTTCTGCTGACCTGGCCCTCGACCACTAGAATCGTCCTACAGGAGAGAGATAAATTCATCAGCTTTAGTGTAAAAGGTTCAATTTAAAATCACAGGATTAGTTTAACATTTTTTGAAATACACTTGTTATCTTTTTTGCCAAGAGTTAGATTAGCATACAGATCAGACCAGCTGTTTGCCCCTGCTTCTAGTCTATATGCTAATCCAAGCAAACCAACTGTAGGCCACATGAGAGAGCTATCAAACTTCTCATCTAACATTAACAATTCCCAAAAAGTGCTTTTAAGCAAAAGTCTTACTTCATCAGGTTTCTCTGAGGCTTTCCGTCTAGGAGAGGGGGAAATGAATACATGAGCAAACAGTGAGATACACATTCAAATAATTTAGTAACTAGGACAGAAAGATTGAGTCATGGATAAAATATTAGTACACAAGCTCATTTCCTTTCAGAGATAAACATTTACTGCAAGTAAAGCGGAACAAGGAAGACGAAAAATGTAAATATTGGTATAACGTGATAGAATGGAAGAACAGGTATTTTCTCATGTTTCTCTGCATGGTTAGTGTAAGGAAAGGTGTCCTGTGTCTGTGTAACGGTTGTACCTGCGGGCTAGTAAGGCATTCATCTCCTGCATCAGTCCCTCCCCACCACCACCACTGCCACCACT